GCCACCACACGAGCGCAGTTGTCTGGGGATGGTCCTCGAGAGAGCTTCACCACCTTCGTCGAGTGGGTGCTGGTGTCCTGCAAGTCCCAGCTGACCGTGGACATCGCGGACAACAACACCAGCCCCACTCAGGACCCTGAACCCAGCCCGCCATCTCCCCACGGTACGGAGCCTGAGCCCACCGATGACGGAGAGCCATTTCCCGCCGCGATCCAGGAGCCGGAGCGAAGCCCGGCGGCTAAGAAGAGGATCTGGACTGTTTGTTTTGGTTTCTTCCCCTTTTGTTGGTTTAGCCCGTTCAATTATTAGTTAATTATCCTCAGTGTGCTCACCTGTCTGCCCCTCGTTATCTGCCCTATAAGTCCTGTCTCTTGTATTCTAAGATTGTCGGTTATTGTGAATGTTACCCCCAGAGTGTGTGTCTCCTCTACCCGAATCTGCCTTGTTGTCGCTACATTAAATATCCTCATTTGAATCCTTGTCATCCTGCCTGCCTCCACACACCTGGACCGTGACACTTCTATTAGACCCTATAAAAGTGCTCTTTAATTTCCTTCTTGGACAATCACTAAGATAAAAGGTTTTGTCTTTTCCACGCTCAGAGTTGCTCTTAGATTGGTTCTGAATCACTCTTAAGCTAAGACTCCTAGTTAGAAAGTTTTAAGCTAAATTAATTTAAAATTTGTGTATATAATATGAAATATAGGCTTATCTTTATATTTATATAATGAAAGCTAAATAAGACAATTTTCTAAAACTTTATAAATTACCAAACCACCACCTCCCATCCTCCAATACACATATCCTACACTGACTCTAAATTTAATTTTTCAATAACTACTAAATTTATCATAATATTATTGTTATTACACTGAGCTCTATATTTTAAGTTTTAAAAAATATTACATATAAACATTTTATTACAATAGTAATGTAATACTTATTACATTGTGTGCAGTTTTTACATTGTTGCTACAAACACTGTACATACTTTAGATCTATTTTATACTGTTCTGCTGTTTGTCGGAAAAAAATGAAGAGTATCTATAAATTCCAACAGTTTTCATTTTGACCACCAACTCACATCACTTGCATGCCTAGGCAAACTAGGCAAGAAGAAGAGAGATTTGATTTAAAATTGTATTTTATTTGACATTTGTTTGGAATTATTGCGCTCATATGAACAATTTCTAAAATATCTAAATATAAATCTAAATAGTGCCATTAAAGTGTCATCAAAACAAATTAAACTATCTGGACACAAGTTGAAGACGTTTGCTATACTTATGCTATAATGTTATAGCAATTCCTACTCTGTAATCATAACCTTACTTACTGACCAACCAACTTAACCAGTTATGTTTAGTTTAAAACACGCCCCTAGCGACCAAACGATTCCTATTTCTTCTCTTCTCTGGTAATTTTCTCCTAAAACAGATTCAGATTGATCTATCAGGTCATCATCTGCTTTAATGACAAGAAGAATAAACCATTAGGGGTGGCAGATTCATTAGAAAAGTTTGAGAGGACCACCATCTTAGAGCTGAAGGAGAAACTTAAAGGGGTCCTATTATGCTCTTTTACAAAGTCTTGATTTTGTTTTGGGGGTGTACTAGAACGTGCTCTCGTGCTTGGTGGTTCGAAAAACGCATTATTTTTCACATAATTTACATTATTACAATACCTTTCTCCCCATCCTGGCACAAACGGCTAAGTTTTCATAATTGTAACATACTTATTTACATATATAATTATTCAGGTGCATGTGTAATAACTGTGTTAAAATGCCCAGTGAGGTAGAAAACATCTGCTGCAAGGAAATTCAAAAGGTACTGTAAACAAGCACTGCTGTCAATTTTGATAGTTATTTATGAATTACTTTATGTATTACAAAACATGATTGTGAATTGACCACTTTATTCATAGTCAGTGTGTTATATTACCTCTTAGGTTGTGAAAAGAATGAAACAAGTCCCAGACCCTCTAACGTGTATGATTCAGCATCCCGGCTTCGAAGTGAACTGTCTGAATCCTTACACCTTACAAAACATTTATAACATCTACCGAGCAGACTATGGGCCTGTAAGGCGCAGAACTGAGGAAGAGTAATTATTCCTGACGTGTTATGATATAAAGCTGTGTAAATAAATAAAACACTGTAAAGTAATATTAGCAAAATTAAAGGCAGGGTAAGCGATTTCTGGTAGCCAATGTTGATATTTGAAATCACCAAAACAAACACGCCCCTACCCCAAAAGGGTCTTGCCCCTATTTTGATAGCTCCGCCCCACATATACGTACACAACCCAGGCAACGATTAGTTCTGTGAAACAAAGCAAAACCAATGTTACACCGTGTCTACGGACGTGAGCGGCGCGGCGCAACAAATCCCCGACAGAAAACTGCTGCCGGGTTCTATTTATGACGTGCTGACACAAATTTCAAATGGTTTTCAACGGTCGTTTGATCGCGTCCAGTGTAGGCAGACTTTAGCTGTTGTAGACACAGTGTTACTCACCTATTGAGAAGAAACAAAGCAACCTCGGCGTCCGATCGCAGGCCTCCACTCCTTGAGTTCTCTCCAGCGCTGGAAAGCTGATCCGACATTTACACGGGTCCTACTTCTTGCCCTATCGTTCCGCAGACGTTTTCCTCTTTTGTTTTTTATCAGCCATCTCTATCTTTCTGTCGCTCTATTGTTCTTCATTCATAAATAAAAGTTATTTTACAACGTACTGGATCATGGCTCAGTTTTCACTGGCTTTGCTGTGCATTCACCCTTTTTCGATTTGGGGAAAAGTACTTTGTACACAGCTTGTCCAGATGATGTTGTGGCTTGTTCTCTGTCAGCATTTTCATTGTAGTGCATCGCCGCAAGGTATAATCTGCAGTCAATAAACAATCCACACATTACTATAATAGTAGTTGAGAGTAATAAAATTTGATTTAGGATATTATTGAATTAATTTCAAAGTGTATTACCTGCACAACATTCCCATAAATGGGAAAACCACATTCTTGGGCGCAAACCGCAAGATTAGGCTGTGGAAGGCCTCTAGAGATGAGGTTTGGTAGTGGTGACTGAGTTTCTCCACATCCTTGAGAACTCTCTTGTTGTTCAGAATCTTTTCTACTTTATGAAATGCCATTGACCCTGTCATGATATGCATAAAAAGTAACATTCCCTGCACAATTTTAACAATTTCGTTAGCCAATTTGTATGCATACCTGGTTGGAACCATTTCTTTGCATCCCTGGATACTGTATCTGAATGTGCACATTTGGGGAAGAGGGGATTTTTGTGGATGTGTACATTTTGAATGTGATTAAGAACTGAGGTCCACTTCGCCACCTTCTCTGGCCCAGATGTTGAAGATCTTGCACTCCAGTGCACATGGTTTTTAATGATGTGCAACCACTTTTTCAGGACCTCACAATCCTTCCTTTTTGACAGTTTTTCGAGTTTCTTGGTCAAACCTGAAAGGTTTATACCAAGCAAAATATCAGCTTTATACACATTATTCCAAGTCAGTCTAGTACAATAACAATTACATTTAATAACTTAGTTACTCAATCAATAAGGCAATATAAAAAAAATGGATACTCACCTTTCTCAAAATGCCATACATCAAAAAACTGAGTGATGTTCCGTTCACGTAGAAATTTCTGAATTTGTGGATGACGATCTGTCACAATATAGTCCACAGCCAAGCCATTTTACTCCAGTTTGTCAAGGGAACGTTTTAACCCCTCCTTCTCCATGTGGTAACTACCACCTACCTCGTTGCTCTGTGCATGGGTACACATAATTTAAAATATAAAATTGACAATAATGAAAAGAGTAATTTACAAGAGTCTTAGGCTTGTAAATGTATAACACACCTGAATGAGTTGAAGATCAAGAATTATGTTGCTGTCCAAGAGCATTAAGGTGTAGCTTCCATATTTTGCAGAGTGTCCTTGGGCAAGCAAACCCAATAATTTGAGTAACTTTTTAAACTACACTTTAATCTATGTATTAAAACATACAGAAGTACAAAACGATAAACTACATTGACCATTAAGGGTGGTTTTGTGTCACACTTGCTTACCTGCAGTGTTGGGAAGTAACTAGTTACATGTAACGGCGTTACGTAATTTAATTACAAAATAAATGTAACTGTAATCAGTTACAGTTACTAAGAAAAAATGTGTAATTAAATTACAGTTACTTATGAAAATGTTAACGATTACAAAAGGGATTACATTTGAATATTTACACACATCCACATACAGATTTAATTGATTTCTTTCCCAAATTGCACTGACTACTCTGAGACATACGGTCCTATAATTTCCGCGATACGGAAAACACAGACTGGTTTGTAGAATCCAGTCATAAAAGTGGAATTCCTATAGCCTATAACGCGGACGGAATATGCCACATTTTGGAAGAATAAATGAAAAGTAGGTCAGTACGCTCTCCGCGCCTCCGCCAAACGGTTTGGATCAGATCAGAATAATCAATGCGAGAGAGAGAATGGAGTGGACTGTGGAAGCGCACAG